CTCATATATCCCAAATTAATTAGAAAAATAATATTCAAATATTAAAAAAGCTTTTTGACTTGTCATTATTTATCCAACTAAAAATTGTTATTATTTGCCCCAGGAGCTACTTTTTTCTTTAAAATTTTACTGAGATAGGAATAAAATTAATATACAAGCAGAAATTATATGAAAATAGAGGAAAAAGATGACATAGAGTAGATTAGATTTCATTCAACGATTCAGCAATTAAGAAAATATAACTTCGAATATCAAAAAAAGATCCAGGTTTACCTGATTTCACGAATGCAAAATTTTAAACTTCTCCGCTAGCTAGTTTGATCAGAAGATGATTAGATACTTGAGAACTGTCTTTCTATTAACGAGTAGTGGTAAAATAGACGCAGGAAAGAGGAGAAATTTAAAGTCACACTATTTGCCCCCTGTCACTATTTGCCCCCTCCCCTTCTTTGACATACGAGAAGTATAACGCGTTATGCGTGTAGTGTACATTCGCCGCACGTGCTCCAAGAATAGCAAACAGCTCGAAGGGGATTTAATTATAAAATATCGCCCACGCCATTTGCCAAGTCGTTCGCTTTTGGTGAAACGGCTACTTATAAGACGTCGAAGTGAATGATTGTCCGAGGAAATATATGTCTGTGTTAAATGTTTACTTGCAATTATGACTTTTCAAGTAGAGAAAATAATTTCTATACGATACGGGCACATCAATTGTTACACCAAACGCATTGTACATTTGCGACTATACTGAATGATGTCACAGGCTCGAAAATACTTCGCTTCGAAAGGTGAAAGGTGAATAGGATTATTCAAGCTAAAAACACTGTGAGTTTCAAATTAAGATCCGATATTTTTTTGTTTGTAACTTGATATTTTAATGAAGGGAGAAATTGGATTATACGCGTTATGAATTACACGTATGTGAAGTTAATTCAAACTTTTAGAATATAGAAATGAAGATAATAGTTCATATTTCACCGATGTTTAATTAGAAAATGATAAAATTGAAATCATTTACTGTGTAATCTTGAATTATATCAAGTGCACTTTTAATACTTATAACAGCCGAATCTGATCGGTTTTAATAAAGGTATCTCCGCAGATTTCTTCGCGTCACGCCATCCTACCTTAAACAAAAGTTGAAGAACTCTCATTAATTCCATTATGCTAAAAATTACTGAAGCGACTCTTCTCGAACTCGATGACTTTCATCGGGATAACTTTTCTAGCGACAAATTTAATTCGGGAGACACGCACCGTAAGGGCCCGTGGTCCGCGATTCGCCCAGAAATTATTTTCCCCGGTTCTCCCTTCGGCGGGAAGTTCTCTATAACATAATTCGGCGCGTTCTACAAAATCCCCCGGACGGTTAATGTTTCCGTCGCGGACTTCAAGTTTTCGCGAGAGACAGACTTTTATCCGCGATGACAAACCGTGATAACTTGTCCTGCGATATCCCGTTATTGCGTTGGTTGGCACGTATAATATGAGGTCGAATCTCGAGAGAAAGCTTTGTGCAGGAAGAGAACACAGCGGAAATGTCGCTATAGACAACATAATGGCCAGATTGCACTATGTAACTTTTTAGCACTTTGCTACAGCAATTGCGAAATCAATTATAATCCGTTCGAAAATCTTCGTTTAGTTAAAAATAAATTGCGATATTCTTATCAAATCTTTACTTGAACGACAAAAACATGCATGCCCTACTATCAAATATTCGACGATCATGAAATGAAAATTGACTGGAATCTGATAAAAAATTTGCATAAAAATAAGAGAAGAGCTAATGAAACATAGTTCTCTTTTTGCAACTATTTTTAAAATAACCTCGAAATAAATAAATTGCCATCTCTGCTCTGTTTTCTAATGAAGCTAATCATAACGAGTTTGATATTATTTAATTTTTATACAATGTTATCTAATAATTGTATCGTGTAAACGAATCATACCTCAAATCAACACTTCTCTGGGCGAATACGGAGCTCCGTGTAAATTGTCTGCATTTATTGCCGACATGCACGGAGCTCCGCAGAAATTGCTTGCTGCCTTTTTGGAAATCCAAGAGCAAAAGGAATTATTAATTTTCAACCAACGCGCGCGCGTGCAATCTCTTGAGATATATTCCTGCCTGTTGTATTTGTTTCGAAGATTACACATTGCACAAAACACACACACGCACACACAATAATTGTTTGAAAAATTTGAATATCTTTGAGTGATTGTATAAAAGATATGAAAAATATTACGTGATTTAATTTTCAAAAAAAATAATGAGGATAAATGTATCATGCGCTATGATTCAATAAAAAGATTTACTTTAATTTAATAATAACGTTGTTTTCTTTTTGTTTACAGGTAACGTGGGTGCAGCATAATAAGGAGTCCTTTCATCTGTTGACAGTAGGCAGAATACCGTACAGTAACGACCAAAGAATCAGTCTTAATTTTCGGTAAGTTGCGACCTCCTCTATTTATCTACATCAATTTTGTAAAGAAATAACCAAGGCCAGAATCATCTCGTCGCATACCTAAATTTATTATCTCTAAAGTGGGAGTTCACGGTATTACGCTGCGCGATTGCAACGATGAGTGAAATTCAGCGGCGAAATTGTCAATGTTATTATCATAATTCGTTATCATTCGCGGCGGCCCAGGCAGCCATCCACGTAATCGCATCGTCAGAGTCGAATTATCATCTTACGTTGATTTTTACCATTCGTCGGAATGAATTCAACGTCGTCGTTGGATGGGAGGAACTCCGCTCTCGTCCTCCTTTCCTTCGCTAGGATTAAATCAGCCGTTTTATGCGCTATAAAAATCAGAATCGACCACGCTGTAACGTGAGGTTCCGCGCCGCGACATTACCCTCCGTCCACTGAAGCAGAGCGTATTATTATAGGATTTTTTATTGGGAAATAAAATGTCAATTTATCTCCATTCACATCCCAGTTACTACATTGCAAATTGCAAGTGTATCTGCTTTACTGACGTCGGGGAATGTATTTTTTGTGGCTAGTTTATTTTTTATTCGAACCCCTTAAGTCGAACAATTTTCTACCATCTTGTCTTTTCTTGTTTGATTCCCGCAGATATCCCAGCAATTGGAGACTGCAGATATTATACGCAAATCCGCGCGACTCGGGGTTGTATCAGTGCCAAGTCGCCACGCATCCGCCGCTGGTTAAGAAAATCAATGTCGTTATTACGGGTAAGTGAATTTGAATCAGTTCGTAAAAATTAAAATTTTAAATAAAGCGATAAGTAATTTTTTAGCTTTTATAATTGTCTGATATTTTTAACAAGAAATGTTAAGTGGAGTAGAATACTTTTTGACTAGCCTGAAAAATAAAGATTTTTTGAGCTTAGATTGCAGGAAAAGTATAAATATGATCCACTTGTAATTTGGCACTTTATGTTTCAAATTTTATTGAAAAATATTAATCTCGCGAGGAAGTACAGCAATCCGTAAAACGTGCACTTTTAAACGGTGTACATGATTCCACCATTTTGGTTATTCTTAAACAAAAAATTGAAATAGTTTCATAAATTAAATTGTATGTACTCCCTATCGCGTGACCGACGATTTTGTTGATAACATTTTCAGTTTCCAAAATAACATGTTTATTTCAGTTAATTAAAAAAAAATGAAATAAAGCTCAGTCACGCAATAGGGAGTACGTTTCAATTTATGAAACTATTTCGATTTTTTGTTTCAGAATAACCAAAATGGCGGAATCTTATATATCGTTTTTGTGCACGTTATATGCAAATTGCTATATTTCCTCGAAAGATTAATATTTTTCAATAAAATTTTAAACATAACAAGTTTAATACATGTATTAATAAAGTGCCAAATTATAAGTGGATCGTATTTATACTTTTCCCGCAATCCAAGCTAAACAAAATCTTCATTTCAAAATATCCTGCCTGCACTTAAAAAATTTCAGCGTATATTTACGTTTATCAGGTTTAGAGTAACCTCTTTATAAAACCATAACATTAACATTATTACGTGCAAAAAGAAATAAACGAACTATTGATACGCGTTAAACAGATTATTTTTAATTTTTAATATTATATTTTAATAAAATAACTAATCAGATTATATTTAGTTTCTGAAGTTTGATTGAATGGCTTTCTGTAACAGTGGATTAATTCATATTTTATAAAAACGAAGAAAATGAACTTAAAGTTTATTAGGGGAGAGTTGCCGAATGCGTACCACTTAAGATATTTTTATTTTGTTATATTTCACATTTGGTACTATTTAGAATGCAAACGAACGTTGGAAATTGTAGCTTGATGTTCAAGGTATCTAATATTACTTGTTAAATCTTTCACTAATAGCAAATTAATTTGTTTTAGGCTTTTTTGTAACATATGCTGTCAAAAGCACAATTCAGTAAACCGATTGCCTAAATCGTACCTGTGAGTTTTATTAATAGTACCTCCTTCTAAACTATTGAATTTATGAATGAAAATAATTAAAAACACAAGATTGATAAAAGAATTCTGAATTAATTATACCTACTTTAATTGTAATTTATCAAACAATCGATAGCTGTTTGGCTTCCCACACAGCACAAATGGCTATTTGCCGGCTAATAGTCAACTTTTTTCAGTCAAGTTAAAGCCGACTATTAAAGTCGACATTAAGCCGTCTATTTCTAGGTTGGTTTTTGTCAATTTTAACTGTCGACTGTAAGTCGACTTAGAGTCAATCATTTTTAGAAAATTAAAGTTGTCTTTTACTGAATAATTATAAGACTGTCGCTAGACAGCGTTTGCTGGTATCTATTTCTCGCTTTTAAAATTTGTCGAGCTCCTCTATATAACCAATGTCAAATCAAAGTTCAATGCAAACGTCAAAAAATAAGGTATATATACATATATACCTTACTTTTTACGCTTGAATAAAGGAAGCCCGCGTTCGCCGAAAATGAGCAAAGATCCAGTAAGTAATTACGCAACTGGATGACGGTTTTTTCCTCTACAGACTTGCTACAGAATAACTTCGATCGTGTTAAAATAAATAATGATTATATCATGTGATCCAAAGATAAAGATATACATTAGTGTTCTTAAATTGTACCGATACGATATAAGAAGATTATGCCGGTTAGATTAGGTACGATTTAGGAAACTTGACAGAGATGATAAAAATATTGATATAATTTTTATAATAATTGTAAATATATATACAATAAATGTAAAATATGCTATTAAAAACTTTTTTTTAGGAAAAAATAACGATTCAATTAAAAATTACATGATTACATTAATTAGTATCAGTTATATAAATTGATAAAAAATTTACATCAATTGTACCTGATTTTTTTAAAATGTTGATAGCATGCACAAAACAAAAGGTAACTTGTTCATTTTTTGTCTATCTTATACATTTCTTATTTATTTCATATGTTTGTTACTAAACGTTGCTTTTATTAAGTGGAACTATAAAATATTGAAGAGGTACGCTTTATGAGACCGGTACGCATTTGGCAACTCTCCTCTACTTTAATTTAAGAGTTCATTTTTTCCGTTGTTACAAAATGTGGGTTGATCTGTATTGGCAAATCCTTTAATTTATAATATTTGAAGTAATCAGTTTTGGTAAAAAATTGTATTAAAATTCTATGGATTTCGACGAAAGAAATAACGAAATTCATAAATTTACCACATTTTTAAATGTAAATTTATGCGGTAAACTTAATCACCACAAGCTTAATACATTTAAAAACTTTATATAATAACGACCCAATTGTGACAGAAGACAAGGGTTGTACACGTGAAACCTGCTTCAGCATTAGCCGCTACCTGTTGGAATACCAACTTGAAATATTCATCGCTTCATCTACGGTGCACAGTAAGCTCAACCTCGTGCAAGCTTAATTAATCCGAGCAGAATTCGCACTCAGGTCGCGCACGTGCAAAATGTTTCGCGCGTGTGAGCTGAAAAAGTCTTGACCTGAAAAGAGGATAAATTGAGGGATCGTTTGCTTGCGACCCCGCCGCAGGAGAATCCTATTCGGGCACGAAATCGTTCGGGCGCCAAAGAGAAACGAAGGAGGCTGGCCGGATCGTATGTTAAACCAAGAAAAGGACAGATGGGAAGAACGAACGCGGATGGGGGAAAAGTGGGTAGGGGCGGGCGGGGGGGGGGACACAAAACGTGGGAGCGTACGAAGCCGGTATTGCATCGCTCGTCGTTACCCCCAATCCCGTTACGTTGCCGATTCCGGTGCAATGGAAACCCGCATTTCTCGGGATAAAGCGCCTCAGCGTGGCTGGTAATCTGATCCGATCCGGAGGAGAATCGGCAAGCAAGAGTGAGCAAAAGCCGCCCCTCCAGAAACGAGAGAAGTAGGACAGAACAAGCCCGGATATAGAGCGACGTCGTTACACACCTTCTCCTCGCTACTCAAATCGAAACTCTCCCTCCTTACATCTATCATCGTCATCGTAGTATGCAACCCTGCGGTATTTCTTCGGCTATCGATCTTACCCCTTTCCGTCAATGAATGATCGTGTGTCGATGTGACTTATATGATACGCCTCTCTGCGGCGAAGTTATAACTACGACTACGCGGCGAAATATTTTTTCGAAATGACAGCGCGGGAAAAGGACGTGAAAGCCGTAATGAAAAAATATTGCTTCCGTGGTTTAAGGCCAATCGCGCGCATCAGTTGCGTTTAGTTTGATAGGAGATCTGCATTTATTATCGCGGTTTTATGATGGATCTTCATTTTTACGATTTGATTCGAGGTCTAATCGATCAAATAGTAATGCGTGATTCTCGAATATAAACTAGAAATAGATGACTTGGGATTTTAAAGATCTACAATATTTAGATGTCATTCTTTTTTATAACTTTGTAATATACATGTGATATTAGTTATTTGTGTTGTTGTTACAAACATAACAAGATGTATACAAGTTTTGTATATTTATTTGCAGTCTATAAAATGTACTTATAAATTCTTAAAATGCATTACTTTTTATTTTATAAATATTTTATAAGTATACATAAGAAATTATGTATAATAGTAAAATTGAAGAGCACATTGCATTATTATAAGTAATAAAATATATTCTTATCATTTTGTCGTATGTTTAAATTCTTACATTTTTTTTACAGATTTTTTATTATGATACGCTTGCATGTAATTCTTATATTAATACAATATTAATTAAATAGATATTGTTATCTAATTTGTTAATATTAGAAATAAATTCTTTTATTGTTGATGACTTATAATTTAAACGTTATCAATATTTTAATATTCAACTAAATTGAATTAATCTAAATTGTAATCGTTATAAAGGAGAGATACATGGTAACAGCCCCTCCCAACCAACTATCTCTCTACTCTCTCATCTCATCTCATAAAATATTTTCGCAAACTCTCTCACACATTATTCAACGTAAATGTGTATGGTAATTATTTATTCATTTAAGTAGGGATTTCGGAGCTTGGCGTGTTATGTATATATGTATATATACATGTATATACGTATATATATTTCTTTTCTTTTCGCGTAAAACGCATAAATCGGACACATCATGACACCGCCGACGACATGAAACAGAAAGGTAATAAAATAGATTGAAGGAAAAAGAAAGAGGATCGCGTGTCGCGCAATCTGGCCTCGTTGCAACTGCAGTGGGTCGTAGAGCAATGAGCGGAATGAACTTTCGGAAATTCGAAATGCACTGCGCAGCGCCGTTTCATTATATGCCGTAACGTAGATCCCAGCCCGTGCGTTTCCGCTTCCGCGAGTGTGTGGAGGATGAAATTACTTTCCCGCGTGACTCTCCTCACGCGGTCCTTTCCGCCCTTTTGCTAAAATACACCGAAACTCGTCGACCTGCCGTCCATTCTCTTCGATCCTCCCACGCGCGCGTCTCGTATAACGAGCTCGACATCGCAAAATACTGTGACACAGCACAGGCACAGAGTTTTAATCCATTATATCTCAAGATTAAACGTGAAACTACAAGGGAGAGGGTCAACTGTTGAAGGATTTCAACTGGAAGAGCAACAGTATTTTCAACGTAGTGAATCCAGCGAGATTTTCGAGCGACATTTATCCGTAATACTAAACTTTTACCTGTAATTTAAATAATATCCTAAGAAAATATTAACACTTCTGAGCCTTTGATACTCTCGTTAACGTTCCATACAAATTGAATGCAAGAAATAGTA